ATTTAGTTTGGCGATATGTCCATATGGCATTTTGGAGTTGCAGATTTCAGCCAAATCTCAGATTGCCAGAAATTCTCAAAAATCGCAAGTCAGCCAAAGCTGAATACACATGTCTGATAAACACACTGTCTGATAAACACACACACACTGTCTGATAAACACACTGTCTGATAAACACACTGTCTGATAAACACACTGTCTGATAAACACACTGTCTGATAAACACACTGTCTGATAAACACACTGTCTGATAAACACACTGTCTGATAAACACACTGTCTGATAAACACACTGTTGTGTAAAAATGTAAACTTTTAATGCAGTTATGGCTAGGGCTGCATAAACTAAGCAATTTAACTTCTAGACAACAGATAATTAGTGAGACTGCAGGGGCATGGTCTATACACCAATATTTCTTACAGTGCCCCTTTAACGTCAAGGGTGAGGAGGATAGATGTGGTCCTTAATCTTCCATTATGCTCAGAGGATATGGGACAGGAGCTTTACATTTATTATGCAAACATTTTTTAACTTGCCTTAGATATAAAATAAATTGCTACTGTAAGAAAAGGCAATTAATGAGGCCATAAATCATGATCTCTATGCTCTCTTCAGACAGTAAAGAAGTAGGGTTGCATCCAATTGGCTGCTTACCAGAAATGATTCTCAGCTAAACTCCAGATATTACTTACAGAGCATTTCTGTTCTATATATTGTATAAACTAACATCCATGTCACGTCTCAATTAGATAAGATTTATGGTAAAATGGAAGCAAGATCATGTTGCCTAGTATTAATGTATAATCCAAGAGGAAAAAACTCACAGGCACTCCAACTTCAAGCTGCAGGCAGATTTATTATGACAGAACGCAACGTTTCGACCGGAAAGGTCTTTTTCAAGCTGACACCACATGGTGCAAAATGTGCTTATATAACAAACACTAACAACTAAGAAATCAATCAATCAATTACTGCTAATTAGTAGAAATTCTTAATTGATAAAAAGGTAATTTAAAAAGGCATTGTAAAAGAAACAAATATCAAATGTGAAATATTACAATATATACATAAATCAGATAAATAGTGCACACTATATCATTAACTTCATACACACAAGACATGAATCATTCTATGATCATATTAATGCTAGGAATTCTAAAATGTATATATATATATAGGATAACCTATTATGTCATGAGTATTCCCTGGTTACAAATACTGTGCCCATAGAGGAGAGAAGAAATACATAAGAAAACAGCAAATAAAAAAAGTAAATACATGCAGCGTATCCTCCATGGTATCCAAACGCGACCCACTTCCGGGTCTGTGAACCGCACGTGACGTCATTGGAACGCACGTGCGAAATCTTCCTCCGAACGGATTGGCTGGAGGACCAAACATAACATCGTTCTGTGTTCAATTCACCATTGCACAGCCCACATAGTGGAGTATGTTCACTCTGCCACATCACTATCCCAAAGTAAATCTTCACAGAACATCCTAATCATTCAGGCATGTTATATGGCACAGATCAGGAAAATAAATCTATTAGATGTAATATACAATATAAGTAAATAAACAAGAGTAATAGTTATTCATATAGGAATACCAGAGATGGATACTTAGAATAATCATTATACCAAATAAGAGCCAATTCCATATTAAAGGTACAGACCTCAAAAGTCAAACACCTATACCTGGCAAAGATTAAATAAAAAAGGAGACAGCAAAGAAAATACAGGGACAGTGAATTCCCATATGGAACATGAGAGTCTGTATATATAAGGACAGAGACTATATAGTCTCATTATATTCTCTCATATATAGGCACAGTCGACATCATTCCAGATTAAAGGTACAGACCTCAAAAGTCAAACACCTATACCTGGCAAAGATTAAATAAAAAAGGAGACAGAGAAAAAATACAGGGACAGTGAATTCCCATATGGAACATGAGAGTCTGTATATATAAGGACAAAGACTATATAGTCTAATTATATTCTCTCATATATAGGCACAGTCGACATCATTCCAGATTAAAGGTACAGACCTCAAAAGTCAAACACCTATACCTAGCAGGGATTAAATAAAAAAGGAGACAACAAAGGAAATAAAGGGACCATGAATTCCCATATGGAACATAAGAGTCTATATATATATATAAGGACAGAGACTATATAGGCATAAGGAATCTATCGATAATCTATGTGAGAAAAACAAGGAGAGTATCTAATATCCACATATGGAACTCTCAAGTAGTCAGTGCTTCAATTAAGTAACTATGTTAAAGAAGTAAAAAGTAATAAAGTGCAAGTGCCACAAATCAAACAAAATGAGTAATAAATCCAAGCAGTCTAAGTAATCTTATGATCACAGTGTAAAAATGGTGAAAAGTTAATTAACTAGTTTTTGAATAAGTGATCCCAGTCAAATAATGTGATCACAGTGTATAACACCACAGGACGGAAATACCATCCTTACTGCTAAAAGTGCATTTATGTCCTAACAGTGCATTCATGTACTTATAATAATATAATTGTGCATTAAATAGAGAGTAAATGTGTCCACATCCTAGTAGTCCCTGAGAAATCCTAGAAGTCCCTGAAAGATTCAGCTTATCATATCGTGTAGTAGACAAAAATAGGGTGTCTAGGAAACCAGCACCAAACATCTAAAAAATCCTGAAAAATATAAGAAAAGGAGAGTTAAAAAACAAAGATAAAATATAGCAATCATTCCTTAAATAAGCATAGACAAATCATATTCATAATTCAAACCCTTTGGGTATAATGTATCGAGTTCCCGTATCCAATATGCCTCACGTAACAGAAGCCTCCGATTTCTATCTCCCCTCCTAGGAGATTCCATAATTTGTTCTAGAATCTGGAATCTGAGCTGAGAGACCCCATGTCTAGCCTCTATAAAGTGTGCCGGTAAGGGCAAATCAGTCAATCTAGTCCGAATCGTGGACTTATGTTTAGAGAATCTCATCTTGAATTTCTGACTAGTTTTCCCCACATATAGAAGGCCACATGGGCATTTCAATGCATAGATGACAAAGTCAGAATCACAAGTCAAGTATTGTTTAATAGAGTACTTTCTACCACTCCGCGGGTGATGAATCACATCACCCCGGATCATCGAATGACAAGAGACACAATTGTAACAAGGAAAATTACCTTGTTTCACATCAGATAAAGTGTCAGTAGACTCAGGAACCAAAGTTTTCACTAATTTATCTTTCAACGAGGTGCCTCTTTTGTAGGCAAACATAGGTCTTTGGGAAAATTCCACAATGTTGGGATGACATTGGGCAAGAATATGCCAATGCCTATATACAATTTTTTGTAAGTCATCTGAATATCTCCCAAATTTGGATACAAATTTTAACCTCTTGTCATTCCGTTGTGATTTATGGGAGTGGAGTAAATCCTCTCTATCCTGATCCTTCACTTGGTTGAGCTGAGTATTAAGCAATGGTAAAGGGTAACCCCGTTCCATAAATCTGGTGGTCATCTCATCCAGACGCCTCTCAACAGTATCACCATCAGATACAAGTCTCCGGACACGGGTGTATTGACTCTTAGGGAGGGCTTTGAATATAGCTGGAGGATGAGCACTAGAGAAATGGAGGACTGTGTTCCTATCCATAGTCTTCCTATATAGGTCGGTGACAAGCCTATCCTCATGTTTTCTAATCAAAATATCCAAAAATGGTATCTCAACCAGATCATAAGTCATTGTAAATTTAATACTGTCCGAGCATGTATTCAAGAAAGTAAAAAAATCCTCAAGGGACTCCAATGTGCCACACCACAATAGCAACACGTCATCAATATAACGCCACCACCTAGTGGCGAATTGTTGGAATAAGAAATGAGGATAAATCAATGTTTCTTCCATATCTGACAAAAATATTCCAGCATATGTGGGTGCCACATTGGAGCCCATCGAGGTACCCTTCAACTGTAAAAAGAATTGTTTTTGAAACAAGAAATAGTTATCTTTCATGACAATCTCTAAGAGCACCATCAGAAAGTTCAAGACATCATCCTTAAAACCAAGTGACATGAATGCAGATTTGGCAGCTGCCAGACCAGCATCATGTTCAATAGATGTATATAAACTTGTCACATCCAAAGTGACAAGAACCAAATTATCATTAGATGATATTTCTTTAAGTTTTAGTAACACCTCAGTGGTATCCCTTACATACGACTTAATATTGCTCAAAAAAGGCCTTAAAATGTTGTCAAGGAATCTAGCTAAAGGTGACAACAGGGAACCTATCCCTGCTACTATAGGTCTACCGGGAGGTCTAGTTAAAGATTTGTGAATCTTTGGGAGAGTGTATAGGGCCGGTACAACCGGTGTTGTTTCAAACAAAAACTTGAACAACTCCTTATCAATAATATGGTTGTCCAAGGCCTGTTTTAAACAAGTTTCTATTTTCGACTGTAAATTCAGAGTGGGGTCACCAGATAGACGTTTGTATGTCGTAGTGTCTCCCAATTGTCTAAGAATTTCGTCTACATAATCAACTGTATTTTGCACCACTATAGCACCCCCCTTGTCTGCAGACTTGATTGTGATTGCCTTATTCCCACTGAGAGTATTTAAAGCCAATCTTTCTTTCTTAGAGAGGTTCTGCATACCTTGGAGATGTTTACGTATCGGTTTGGATGAAGTTATAGTATTCAAATCCTTTTGTACCAACTTAGCAAAAACCTCAATAGCATGATCAATAGAAGGAGGGTTAAACCTACTCTTATTCTTAAGTTTGGTATCACTGAGTTTAATGTCCGCATCCCTCTGAGTAGTAGACAATGAGGTGGGCACAGGCATCTTATCAAAGAAAGTTTTCAACCTAAGAGTACGGAAAAAACGAGTCAGTTCCAAGTCCAGCTCAACATGTGTTGGTATGTATAAAGGGCAAAATGTTAAGCCCTTGGAGAGGACGGACAGTTCATCATTAGTTAATGTTGTAGCGGAGATGTTAATTACTGTAGTTTCTTTCTCTTCGGACCCATTTTTTTGTGGTCCCAGATGGCTGGCAGCGTGCGATTTCTTGTGACTGCCCCCACCTCGTCGCATCCTTCTTCGCTTGAAGTTATTCGTGAGGAGGTAGGGGTTCTTTCTAAAAAAGAAAGAGAGCTATCTTGGGAATTTTCCATCTCGGTATTAGATGAGTCACCACCCACACGGTGTTTCATTTTACGTGCCTTTTTCCTTGTTGTGACCTCTTTCTTCTTAAAGGGATAGTTTTTCACTCTGTCACGATTATGCCACCGGTATACATTTCCCATCTCGTAATCCGTTCGATCTCTCTGGAATTTATTACGCTTCCGCTCCTCAATTTCTTTTTTGAGCTTATCCACATTCAGATTAATTTTGCCCTTAACCATAGTTAAATCCAATCCTTGAGAGGTATTAATCAGTTCTGCTTCCAACTTAATTTCTTCTTCCTTAGCCTTAGAAATCGCTTGTTGAAGAAATTCCAAGTTAAGGAGAATCCAATCCATTGAACATTTGTTCAAAATAGCTTCCAGTCTAGTACAATATTCCACATCATCTCTAAATAGGGTAGGCTGGACATTCATCCTCATGCCCCTCGGTATTCGGTGTACCTTGTAGTATTCGGCAAGAGTAACACTATGCATAGTATAACTCAAATGTTTCTTCAGACATTTTTCCAAATTCATAGAGACATTATCAGAAGTGGGAACTTGCAAAAAGGAATGATTGCTTTCAACAGCTTGGAGGATCCGTAAGGCATCCCCCTCTGAGTAAGAAAAAGTGCCAGAAAACACATTCTGTTCCATACTGCCAAATATTTCTAATCCAAATTAAATATACAAAAAAATGTTTTTTGGTATACAAAAAATATTTCATTTAGCAATTACTAAATAAGGGAGGTGCAGGTTCCACAGTGCTGTACATACTATTGAGCAGAGTAAGTGATGAGAACCGCACCCAATCCCAGCGGCCAAGGGTGCTCCAGAGCAGGACCAGCAATCCCAGTACAATAATCCAAGAGGAAAAAACTCACAGGCACTCCAACTTCAAGCCGCAGGCAGATTTATTATGACAGAATGCAACGCAACGTTTCGACCGGAAAGGTCTTTTTCAAGCTGACACCACATGGTGCAAAATGTGCTTATATAACAAACACTAACAACTAAGAAATCAATCAATCAATTACTGCTAATTAGTAGAAATTCTTAATTGATAAAAAGGTAATTTAAAAAGGCATTGTAAAAGAAACAAATATCAAATGTGAAATATTACAATATATACATAAATCAGATAAATAGTGCACTCTATATCATTAACTTCATACACACAAGACATGAATCATTCTATGATCATATTAATGCTAGGAATTCTAAAATGTATATATATATAGGATAACCTATTATGTCATGAGTATTCCCTGGTTACAAATACTGTGCCCATAGAGGAGAGAAGAAATACATAAGAAAACAGCAAATAAAAAAAGTAAATACATGCAGCGTATCCTCCATGGTATCCAAACGCGACCCACTTCCGGGTCTGTGAACCGCATGTGACGTCATTGGAACGCACGTGCGAAATCTTCCTCCGAACGGATTGGCTGGAGGACCAAACATAACATCGTTCTGTGTTCAATTCACCATTGCACAGCCCACATAGTGGAGTATGTTCACTCTGCCACATCACTATCCCAAAGTAAATCTTCACAGAACATCCTAATCATTCAGGCATGTTCAGGCATGTTATATGGCACAGATCAGGAAAATAAATCTATTAGATGTAATATACAATATAAGTAAGTATCCATCTCTGGTATTCCTATATGAATAACTATTACTCTTGTGACATCGGTCTACTCCACGCGGCCGGAAGGAGGAAGTACATGCGTTCCAAAACAGAATTACCCGCAAAACTGTAATCCACACAAGTATTTATAATGGACATGGACTGGGTATAGGACTAGAGAGCCAACTGAGGAAGCCACAACAGGCGAAACGCGTATTGGCTTATTGATATTTTATCTTTTCATTATTTTATATAGTTTTTTATGTAATATTTCTTAATAAATTTACTTTTTATTATTCCATCTATTGGATCCTCTCCTATTTATTGGAAACACCTCTACTGGAGACACCAACCAGCCACAGAAGGGCTAGGATCACCCTGGAATAGATCCTGAAGCCATCAATACCAGAGCCAGGTTCTATATTGGCTCTGATTTTGTGAGTGTTTCCTTGCACATATTTTTTTTAAAGTATTCATTGTTAAGCTGTCTGCACTATTTTGTGCACCTCTATATCTCCACAGCATTATATTGAGAAGAGGGGAGAGAGAGAAAAGTGTATCCTCCATCCATTGTGTTTGTATTATATTAATTAATTAGTTAATAGTAACACAGACTCCCAGATCATTATTAACCAGAAAATACATTTTATTATGTCACCTCTTATTCTCTCCTATCATACCATACCATAGGCTGCAATTTCAGGGGTTAATATACAATCCACTGGGCTATAGAAAAAAGAGAGGGAGCACAATATACAGTGTCTCTGCAGAGATGGCAGATTGCCCCAGCAGCTTAGATAATTTATCTATAAGAAACCAGTGCTAAAGCAAAGCAGTAGACAAGGGAACCTGAATTTCATCTTGAATTTATTTACAGTATAAAACAAAAGTTAGAACTAACAAAAGTAAAGTGGAAATGAGTTAAAAATAAACAAAAGTGTCTTCAGCATGGTTCTGTTTATTTAGGTCACTCTGTTGTCAAATACATCTTTGATGAAGAATGCTGAATTGTGTATTGTTGAAAAGAAATGGTACGTGTTGTGGTTTATGTACAAAAAAATAGTAAAATATTGAAATGAGGAAAATAATCCCATCTGTCAAATTAATGATGGATTTGGTCCAACCTTGAGAACAAAACTTGAAGTGCTAATTCCATGCACCACCGATGCCTTTAATTAAGATGCTTTAACAGATGGGAAATCAATGTGGAGGCTTTATTTAAGAGAAATAAAGAACATATTTCTGTGCGAAAGCAGTTGTTTGCGTTAACAGATTCGTGGAGGTTGTAAAGTCAATGTAATTGTTACACAGTGGCTTAGCATGTAAATTTTTATGTATTTCAACAAAATATTTCCTGGAAAATGTGATAATGAATGCAAGCCACGTTAAAGTGTTGTATGTTTTCTTATATTTCTACTCTGAAAACTCATTATATTTTTAAGATTCTTTTTAATATTTAGATAGAAGAAGGGATATAAGCCATTTGCAAAGCCTGCTTGGCTTATTATTCCCTAAACCCCACTACATAAGATGTAGGAGAAGGTAGGACCATCTGCCAGCCCATTGTCTGGTATATCTTATTTTTCAAACTTCCCATCATGTGGGGTCGGAGAAGAGAGGTGCACTTCCCTGGGGCACAGTAGTGAGCATTGAGCGCTATTTTAATTTTTTTTTTTTAAATCCCATGTCCACTGTAGTGGACAGGGGTGAGTGAACTGCTTGTCACCCATAGGTTAATACGGGGTCAAAAACTCTACTAGTTTGATTTTTATTTATCGTAATATATGTTGCCCTTTCAGCATGACAGAATATATCAACACATTGTGTATTTTTAACACATTGTTGTACGTTTTCTCTATTAAGGTATAATTAGAATTTACAAAGCTTCCTTCTGATGGAATACTGTGTATGTAGTCCATTATTTACCCTTTCCCTCAAAGCCTTATTTCTATCCTCCATTATTAGTCTAATCTAATATTATTGTAGAATATGACACATTTGGTAGAAAAGAGTAATAACCCCTTGGATCAATTTTAGAATTGATAGGATATGTATAGAGCTGGAAATTATAACTATGACAATACTTTTGTAACTCTCAACATTTCTGGAAACTAGATCAAAGGGACAGTCCATTGTCAAAAATAAATAAATAAATCAGTGAATAAATAACTATAACCAATTATGAACCACATGATGGTCTAAGCCATAATGCAGTGAAGGACTTTAATGCCCAGTGCCTGCATAGACCATCATACAGTAAAGGTACTAGTAGGGTTAAATACCTACTGGTACCAAGAACCTCTTTGTCAGCTGTAGGTGCTGGTGAAGGGGAAAAAGAAACACACAAAAGGGCTGCAGTGAAGTAAAAGACACACAAAGGAATGCTATAAGACACACACAAGAGGGTGTAAGACTAAACCGGGTAAGACAATCAAAAGGGGGCAAGAAATACAAAACAAAGATTATGAGAAATAAGTGAAAATGCATTTTTTGGGGGGTGGGGAGAATGCATCTTCGTCTGTCGTCTGTGTCTGCTTTACCTGTAACTCACTTCTTCAGCACAGGAGTATATGCCGAAGAGATGATTTAAAGGTGAGAGAAAGACAACTTATTAAAGGGACACTATAGTCACCAAAACAATACAAATTAATGTAGTGGTTCAGCCCCTGCCCCCCTCTACAACGCCTGCCTCCATAATACTGCCCCTGTCCCCCCTCTACAGCCCCTGCCCCCCTCTAGAGTCCCTGCCCCTGTCTACAGACAGTGCCTCCATTATACTGCCCCTGTCCTCCCCTCTACAGCCCCTGCCTCCATTATACTGCCCTGTCCCGCTATGCTGAGCCCTGTCCCTCTCCAGCCCTGCCTCCATGATACTGCAACTGTCCCCCCCGTCCCCTCTACAGCCCCTGCCTCCATTATACTTGCCCTTGCTCCTGTCCCCCCTCGTCCCTGACCCCCACTCTACAGCCCCTGCCTCCATTATACTGCCCCTGTCCCCATCATGCTGCCCATGTCCCCCCATGCTGCCCTTGCCCCCTGCTGTCCATGTCCCCCTCAAGAGCTCCTGTCCCCCTCTACAGCCCCTGTCCCCCCTTTACAGCCCATAACTCCACTACCACACATCCCTTCCACTACAGCCTCTATTCTCCCACTCATAGCCCCTTACTACCATCAACCTACTTCAGCCCCTTACTCTCGACTACAGCCCCCAATTAAAGCCCCTAACCTTCAAATACAGCCCTTGTCCTTCCCCACTACAGCCCCTGCCCTGTCCCACTCCAGCCCCTAGACCCCTACTACAGTCCCTGCTCTCCCCACTACAGCCCCCAGCCCCCTACTGCAACCCACTACAAGTCCCCCTCATGAGATTAGGTTCTGGATCTGCCACTGCTCTGTATGCCTATGTCTGTATGTCTCTGTATGACTATCTGTCTGTGTATGACGGTGTATGTATGCCTGTGTCTGTATGTCTCTATATGACTCTGTCCATATGTCTCAGTATGCCTTGCTCTGTAGGTCTCTGTATGCCTTGTTCTGTAAATCTCTGTGTGACTATAGGTCTGTGTATGCATGTCTCTGCATGCCTGTATGTCTCTCTATGACTTTGTCCATATGTCTCTGTATACCTTGTTCTGTTTGTCACTGTATGCCTGCATCTTTATGTCTCTGTATTACTGCATCTTTATGTCTCAGTATGACTGCATCTATTTCTGTGTTTGTATATCTCTGTAAAACTGTGTCTGTATTTCTCTATATGACAGTGTCTTTGTGTATCTGTATGTCTGTGTTTTTATGACTGTTTGACTGTGTGCCTGTATGGTTGTGTGTGTTCCTATATATCTATTTCTATATAGCTTTGGAGGAAAAAGACACACAAAGAGTCCTGGTGGGTGGGTGGGGAGGAGTGGGTGGGGGGTGACAAACGGGCTGAGGGGAGAGACACACAGAAAAGGGCTGTGGAAAACAAGAGGGTTGTATGAGACATACAAGGGAGTGCAAGACAACATAATGGGGGATACAATACACTAAAGGGTCAATTCTAAATTTGCCTGCTTATAAATTACTGGTAAGACCACACCTTGAATATGCTGTGCAATTTTGGCCACCTGTTCTAAAAAAGGATATTATGGCACTAGAAAAAGTGCAGAGGCGAGCTACAAAATCAATAAAAGGAATTTTAGTTATGAAGGAAGGTTAACAAATTTAAATCTCTTTAGTTTGGAAAAATTACATCTCAGAGGTGATACGATAGCATTATACAAATATATTCGGGGCTATTACAACCCATTGTCTGGCAATCTATTCATAAACAGGGCTATACATAGGACACAAGATCACGCATTTAGACTGGAAGAAAGGAAATTTAGGGTCCAGCAAAGGAAAGAGTTTCTTAACGTATGAACAATAAGGATTTGGAATTCTCTCTCTGAAGAGGTGACTTTATCAGAGACTGTACTGATGTTTAAACAGTAGTTGGATGAAAACTTGCAAAAACATAATATTCAGGGATATGATTTTTAATTATTGGGGTAACAGCTTAATCCAAGGAGAGATCTCATTGCCATTCTGGGGTCAAGAATGAATTATTCCTAGTTTGTTGCAAAATTTTAAGTGCTTTAAACTGGGCTTTTTGCCTTCTTTTGGATCAACAGCAAAAACATATGTGACTGACTGAACTTGGTAGAATCATTTCTCTTTTCAACTATGTAACTATGTAACTATTTGGGATATCATTGTTTCTGAGAACAGTAGTAGAATACAAGTATGCAGTATTTGGATTAGTGGGACACGTGTGGCCTGTCAATCCCCCCTGTGTCCCCCTAAAAAGTGTTAAAAAAACACAACCTAGGTTTGCAATAAAATAGTTAATGGTGTTAAATGTTAAATGTTACATGGGCATGTCCTAACTGAATTTACCTGTTTTTAATGATGCAATTGTTCCCTTTCATGATGTCTCAAATGCACATTCCTACTTTGCATGATGTTCTCACACACGCTCCTAACGCACCTGCATACCGTATGCTTTGAGGCACGCACCACGTAGATACTAATACGGATGCTTGTCTACATACAACTCAGACCGACGAAATGGTCTAATCCCTGCCGGGTGCCACAATACATGGATAACGGGCAGCTGGGGACGGAAGCAGACCTAATGTGACACTACCCCACCGAGACGACAATGGCTGGTGACCAAACCAACTCTCGACGCCACCTACCCAACGGGTTTACTGTCAACGCCCTGAGAGGTGGATTCGCGGGACGACGTCCCCGGAGACCTATCTACCAGCAGCATATCACCCCTAACCTTAGTCGACTCTGCGACTCAACAACACCTACGCTCACTACACCACACTGACCACCCCCCCGCAGATCCCCTCCTCAACCCCCCTGCGACACCACATACCCGCGCCCGCCGGCCTTACCACCCCTCCCTCCCCTCCCTTTCTCGTCTCCCGGTCAGGCCCCGGGGACACCCCCACAACATGAAGCCAGTCCTATCGGGCACGTGGGGGAGGGCATCATCCTCTACATGATCAATGCGAAGGGCCTAAACTCCCCACAAAAAAGAGCAAGGGCGCTATGTGAGTCGAGCACTAAAGATATCGATCGCCTTCTTCCAAGAAACACACTTCCCCGCGACTCAGGCCCCCAAATTCTTCAATAAATACTACCCAACCGGCCACTTCATGCACAACCCCTCAACCAAATCCAAAGGAGTGGCCATACTACTCTCGGAAAATATTCAGTTCCACCTGGAAGCAGAGGAGAAGGACCGGGAGGGGAGATACCTCTTCCTCAAATGGTATATAGGTGACTCTCGAGTCACGCTCGCAAACTTATATCTCCCGAACAAAGGTCAAAAAGCGTCCCTGGCCTCTCTCCTAAAAGCCCTGCATGCGTTCAGTGAAGGGACTGTCATTATCAGAGGTGACTTCAACGCCCCCCTGGACCCGAGAGTGGACACGTCAAAAGGAAGCTCCACGATCCCGGACCACGTCCTCAGGGGCATAAGGACCCTCCCCTGGCGCACTCTCCACTACGCATAAATGGACTACACCTATTATTCAACACTGTAGAAATCCTACTCAAGGACTGATTACTTCTTCACCCAACACAGAGACTTGGATGCACTGATCTCTGCCTGCATAGCCCCAATGACATGGTCGGACCACGCACCCCTAGTCCTTACCATCGAAAACCCCAGGCTCTTCCGTTCACAATGGATGTGGAAACTCAACGAATCCTAGAACACCCGCTGATACAAACAAAAATCCGACCGCCTTAGAACACTACTTTCTCATCAACACGACAACGGACAGCTCACCGCCGACAATATGGGAGGCACACAAATGTGTAATTAGAGGGATCCTCATCAAACATGGCACCCGCTTGACAAAACAAGGCGCCCAGGAAATAGCACAACTCACCGCCCAACTGGCACAACTGGAAACACGCCACAAGCAGGACCTCCGCGACGACACGCACAAACAACTCCTAGAAACAAGAGCGAGACTCAACTCTTGCCTAACGTTGAAAATACAATTCCAGTTCCAACTCACAAAAAGAACCTTTTACGAATACAGAAACAAGAGCAGTAAATTGCTTGCTAGGGCGCTGAGAGCGCGGAGACAGAAGAGCCACGTCCAAAAGATCTCCCTTGCAGGGAAAACACTACTAACCACGGCCATAGCAGAATATTATTCCTCACTATACTGCCTACCCCCGAACACCACATATACGGACGAAGGGGAAGAGGCCTTTACAGCACACCAAAAGGCATACATCGCGCAGAACACAACCCCCATGCTGGCGCCACAGGACATAACCACACTAGAGGAAGATATCATGAGTGAAGAAATACACCTGGCAATCAAACTGGCCAAACAGGGAAAGAGCCCAGGAAACAATGGATACACAGCGAATTACTACAAAATGTTCGCGGACATCCTCACCCCACATCTGCTCACCTTATTTAACTCCACCCAGGGCGGGGGTACACTGGACCCTAACATGCTCTTAGCCCACGTCGTGGTACTACCGAAGGAGGGAAATGACCCCTCTTCCTGTGTCAGCTACCGACCGATCTCCCTGTTGAAAACCGACCTAAAACTGTTCGCTAAAATCCTGGCCCTGCGCCTGCAGCCCCTACTACCGAATCTTATCCACCCTGACCAGGTGGGCTTTTTTGAGGGTCAAGATGCCACGGATAACACAATCAAAGCACTTAATCTCATCCATGCAGTACGGAGGGGACCTTACCCTGCTCTAATGGTCTCCACCGACGCGGAGAAGGCGTTTGACAGGGTTGATTGGTCCTTCTTGCGGTCTACACTAGAACACCTCGGGATGGGACCGCACATGCTGGCACGAATATCGGCCCTGTACACCACCCCGGCAGCCCGAGTGCAGATCAACGGGATTCTCTCTGAACCATTTAAGATCACGAATGGCACCAGACAGGGGTGCCCTTTATCGCCCCTACTCTTTGTCATCAGCTTGGAACCGTTCCTTAACGTGATATGAGCACAGCCCCACATAACAGTCAGGGGGCACGTGGGGCGTCAGTAAGGGCTCCGCATACGCGAACGACCTTCTGTTCACCATCACCAACCCAGCCTCCTCCCTCAGAGAACGTATGCACCAATTTTACATATATGGCACATTGTCTAATCTGGAGATAAACTTCGCGAAATCTGAAATTCGTGAACTGCCCCCTGACACTGGCAACCACACTGCAATCTGAGCTCCCCTTCCATTGGTGTAAGGAAGCAATCAAATACCTGGAGATCTGGCTGTCAGCAGACCTATGAAACACCTACCGAATGAACTTCCCACCCCTCCTTGAACGGATTCAGAAAGACCTAGACTCGTGGCAGCTTCCACATATTACATGACTGGGGAGGATCAGCGTACTCAAAATGAATATACTCCTGCGAATCCTGTACCTCTTACAAACCCTACCAATCCATATCCCCAAATCCTGTCTGAACTTCGCAACCCTCACCAAGCCCAAGCAACAAGGGGAGTTGGGACTCCCGGACCTGACAAAATACCGGCAAGCCGTCCACCTCCAAAGGTTGATCGAATGGACACACAACCCGATAGACAAACTCTGGATCGCCATAGAGGCCATCTTCTCACTGACACCCCTGTCTCTCCTCTCGTGGCTACCGGAAAACATGGTCGGTGGATTACCGATCAGACACCCAACTCTAACTGCCACGATGGCCGTGTGGAAGAGGATGGCAGCACACAAAGACATAGAACTGGAGCTCTCACCATTATGCCCCATATCGCATAACCCGCGATTTACCCCAGCATTAGAACCCTGCAGACTGAGGAATGTGTACAACCAGGGAGCGATCACGCCGCTGGGGGATATGGTCCCAAACGCCCCACACACCATGCTACTCCGCTTCAGATATCACCAACTGACGGGGTTCCTGAAGAGTATACCGGGCCTAGACTCGGCATCACAACCGCTCTCCACATTTGAGGCCTTCTGCACGAACCCCCCCCACATGCAATCTCGATCCTATACCGCATGCTAATCACTCCTCCCGCAGACGCAACCCTTCCTTACTTCACTAAGTACTGGGAAAGGGATCTAGGACACACACTCTCGACAGACCAATGGACGACGGTGTTCACTCTCATACATATAGCCTCAATCTCCACCAAATTCCAGGAAACAGGCTACAAAATGGTCTCACACTGGTATAGGACACCTGAAAAACTAACAGTGATGAAAGCCACAAACGACCCGGAATGCTGGAGATGCGGGAAGGAACTAGGGTCCCTCTTCCACATCTGGTGGTCTTGCCCACTTATCAAGCCCTTCTGGGCAGAAGTCCACACCATACTGACGACCATTACTGATGCAAACCTGCAACCCACACCTGAAACATACCTGCTCCAATTAACCACAATTCCCATTAACAGATTCAAGAAATCGATGATGCCACACCTACTGAACGCGGCCCGTAGCATCATACCGGGACACTGGAAACAACACACAGCCCCAACCATAAGAGAATGGATGAATAGAGTCGAGGATATCAGGCGCATCGAGGAGCTGATTCACTCCGCGGCGGGACGCATACAACGCTACTACGACACATGGTACCACTGGCTCCAGTGGCTTTCCTCCCCCACTGCAAGCACGGGTGACACGCAACCCTCGGTGACGGTAGGAACCCAGCCCCGACGACACCAAACGAAGAGACCTCGGAGGCAGGGACACTGGTCCAACCCACCCAAGATGACCTGGTTGATGTTACGACACACCAGCCCCGGCCAGGGGATGAGGAGTGAGGGGGGCTGGGATGGGGACCTGGGACCGGACCCCTCTTTTCTTCCCCCCAGACACTCCAGACTCCTTCCTGCTTGACCCCAAACCTACCCACGTCTACACTTTCGTTCCCCCACCAGTCTACCCCTCCAAACAACCCCCGTAACACAGACACCTCGCTACTAACACAACAGCACAGGGACACGAACTGCCCACATGGACACACCCCCCCTCCACCACCTCCCATTCCCCGACTGGGAAGAACAACCACATAACACAACAACCACACAACACAACAACCACACGTGACCCTACATGGCCCTAACAACCGTAGACACAATGCACAAAACCAGACACAATAGGTCGCTGTTCAAACCTCACAACCTGGAGCGTTGGCCACCCGAACATGACCCTCCTGACACCACACTCTGCACAACAACAACAAGTACAACTGCAAGATACAATGGTAATACCCTAACAGCACACCAGACTGCAGTTCCCAAACGAATGGGCCCCACGGACACCAGAGGAAGGTAGACAGGACTGTCAAGACCCACATGGCAAGAGACCCACCTGACAGTGACTCAGCGATGGCCCACCAGGCCACACTGCGCACCGACCTATCGTCATATACCCCCCAGCCCCCTCCCGACGGGCCCAGCACAGACCAACCAGGGAGACCCCCGGACTATGTTCCCCAGCTGCCTGCAAGATACCCCTCCTTATCCGTGAATATCAAATCACACGTTACAAGACCCATACCTCAGCCCGCAGCTTGCCAGCAATACGCACCACACTGATGCCGCGGTGCACGGCTAACCCTCGCCACGCAAACTATCCCGCAAATTACACACACCATGTAATGTAAAACACAGCTGACAATGCCAAATATGTGATCTGTAACGCATATACTGTACGATTGTTAACTGCAACCAGACATGCATACCTGGCTGGCCCGCCCAGCGATATACTCTGTCTTGTTACTGCTACACTTTACCTGTACTTATGGAATAACAAAAAAAAAAATAGTTAATGGTTTTGAATTTTGTGATTATCATTGTTTTCCAATTTTTTTATATTTTCTTCCTATTTAAAGGAGCACTATAGGGTCAGGAAAACAAAAATTTATTCCTGACCCTATAGGGTTAAAACCACCATCTAGCCCCCCTGGCCCCCTCGTGCCTCTTTAAAAAATAGTTAAATCTTGCTTGTATTCAATTCTGCAGCTGCTCACATGTTGCTGTTTCCTTTAGACCTGCCCACTGCCTGCTGACATCAGCAGAAGTGGTAGCCTGATCCAATCACAATGTTTCCCCATAGGATTGGCTGAGACTGACAAAGAGGCAGATCAGGGGCAAAGCCAGCACAATTCAAACACAGCCCTGGCCAATCAGCATCTCCTCATAGAGGTGAATTGAATCAATGAATAACAGTAACAGTAATAAAGAGTAACTTCTATCTCTCAAATCTTCATTGTGCTCTCTCCTAAAGGGCCACACTCCACTCTCACCTCCAGTTCTGCTACTTTGCCACCATGTCTATTTGCTGTCTCCCTCAATACCCTTCCTATTGTGTTTTTTATTCCCCTCCTCTTCTAAACTGTAAGCTCATTTGAGCAGGGTCCTCAACTACCTATTGTTCCTGATACATTTTGTTATTGTCTAATTTGGTAAATTCCCCTCTTATTGTAAAGCACTGCGGAATCAGCTGGCACTATATAAATACCAATAATAATAATAATTATGGGGATGTAGT